TGCGCAGTGAAGCATTGCATCACCAAGGAATGCAACGCAAAGCATGGCATCGCACAGCGGCGCATAACACAACGCCGCACAGCATGTCATGGCATGGCGCCGGGTTCCTTGGAGGGTAAGTGGATCGTCTTCGAGAGGTCTGGGCCGGTCTGGAGTCGTGGCTCCATGTCTACCTCCTTGGGCTCCCCGAAAAGCTCTGGAGAGCACACGCTGGCTCTGTTTTCAACATCGGCTTCTCAAAGCAGACACGGGGCTTCCGCTTGATACTTCCTGAAACGACGACGCCCCAAAGGTGGGAGGAGGGCGAGGACGAGGGACGAGGGCGAGGACGAAGGCGAGGACGAGGACGAGGAGGAAGGGGAGCAGGAAAAGGAGGAGGAGAAAGAGGAGGAGGAGGAGGAGGAGGAAAAGGAGGAGGAAGAGGAGGAGCAGGAGGAGGAGGACCGAAACCAGGCCCGGGGCCCGGACACCCTCAGGGAGTCACCCCTTTTGGCCCACGATATTTTTGACCCCTTCAGGAGCCTCCCGGGCCTCCCCCCCGCCGCTCAAACATTTCCAGGGGCTGCCAACAAAAACCAACCAGAGTGGCCTGACAGGGCCGAAGACGTTTAATGAGACGGCTCAGGAGGCCCCGAAGACGTCCTAAAGAGGGCTCCAAGATGCGCCCCGAAAGGGCCCAAGGAGACCAAAATTGCTTCGTTCCTTGAGCAAGCGATTTGTTGACGGACCCCATCGTTGTGCAGTCATGTGAAGCGCAGGGCGCGGGTGTCTCTTCATACGCTGCGCGCCGCGGAGCAAAGCGGAAAGATGGCTGCTGCGGGGCACGCGTGAATGGGTGCGTTGAATTCCTTGTGGAGTTCGTTCCGCGTGAAGGGTGTGCCGAATGATTCGAATGTTCCAACGCGGTCACACCCATTGAGGCCGCAGGCGGACGTCCCTTGGGCACGGCCTGTGCGAGGCATGTTCCGAAATGGGCGGGGGGAACGCCATGCGAAGCTGCCCAATGGTGCCGTAGGTGGAGTTCTTTATGGAGCATGATTCGCGTGACGGTGTGCCGACATGGGCGGGGGGGCGTTGTATGAATCTTGACTCTGGGCCTTTGGGGTGGTGCTCCTTGTGGGCACGATCAGCGTGATGCGATTGTGCCGCAATGGCCAGGGGCGGCGCAGTGCGAACCCTGCCTCAGCGGCCGTATGTGGATATCCTTGTGTGTCGCGATCCGTGTGAGAGTTGTGCCGAAGCGGGCGGGGGGGCGGGATGCGAATCTTGCCCGTGGGCCCGTCCGTGGAACTTTTTGCGGGCCACGATCCGTGTGAGAGGTGTGCCGAAGTGAGCTGGGCGACGCTATGAAGCTCCCCTCTGGTGCCGTAAATTCATTTACTTGCGGGGCACGATCCGCCTCAGGGGCGTGCCATTCTGCGAACCTTGTCTCTGGAGACGTAGGTGGAGTTCCCTGTGGGGCGCGATCCCTGTGAGGAGTGTGCCGACATGGGCGAGGGGACGCTAAGCCAAGCCTGTCTCCGGAGCCACATGTGAAGTCCCTGAGGGCCACGACCCGTGTGACAATCTATGTCTTCCTATGCCGAAAACTTTATACAACTAGAGAATGCTAGAACCTAAGCGCGCGCGAAGCGCGCGTGTGGTTCTGCTATATCTAGAAAGGTACACACAGTGATATCCAATGTCTTCTGCTGCGGTGCGGATATGAGTCCGCAAATCGGCATGAACAGACCAGCCGCCTGTGCAGACTGACCAAGTAAGAGCGAAGTTGTCAAGGACCCACCGGCAATGCTCGTACTGTTGAGATTGTCTTCCCTTCTCAGGTGCTGCATTCAACAGGAATGCGGGAAAAGCAAAGGCCTCAGTCGGGGGAACGGCCCGACCAAACCCAGGGTAAGGACCATGATGTATTGTATGAGCATGCCCAAAACAATCGATAGCAGCAACAGCAAACCCAAAACGGAGAGAACGAGGAGGAGGAGAAGGAAGAGGGAGTGGAGGAGAGGAGAAAGAGGGAGTGGAGAAGAGGAGGAGAAGGAGGAGAAGGAGGAGGAGGAGGAGGTACACGGAGGAGGTAGGAGGTAGGAGGAGGAAGAGGAGGATGAGTAGGAGGAGGAGGAAGACGAGGAGGAGCAGCAGGAATAAGAGGAGGATTAGGAGGATGACGAGGATGAAGGATGGGAATGACGAGGGAGAAGGATGAGGAGAGGAGGATGACGAGGAGGAGGAAGAGAAGGATGAGAGCAGGAGGAATAGGATAATGGTAATTATGATGATGACGATGACGAAGATGGCGAGAACGATGACGATGGCGATGAGGATGCTGATGATGATGCTGATGATGATTATGATGATGTTCATAATGATGATGCTGCTGATGATGATAGTGGTGGTGATGGTGGTGGGGGTTGTGGTGGTGATGGTGGTGGTGGTGCTGATGCTTCTGATAATTACGCTGTTGATAGCGACGATGACGACGACGATGATGATGCAGATGCTGATAATGACGATAATGATGACTATGGTGATGATGGTGATGATGGTGGTGATGATTCCGATGATGATGACGAAGATGGAGATGATGATGATGATGATGATGATGATGATGATGATGATGAACATGATAATGGTGATGGTGATCGTGATCGTGATGGTGATGGTGGTGATGATGATTTTGATGATGACGATGTGGAGGAGGAGGAGGAGAAGCATGAGGATGCTTTCAACGACGACGATGATGATGATGGTGATGATGATGATGATGATGATGATTCTGATGACGATGATGGTGACTGTCATCATAATAGGGGCGGGTGATGGTGATGGCGACGGTTTTGCTGCTGCTGATGACGATGATGATGACGATTATGATGATGATGATGATGATGATGATGATGATGATGATGATGATGACGATGATGATGATGATGATGATGATGATGATGGTGATGATGATGATGATGATGGTTATGGTGATGGTGATGATGGTGATGATGATGATGATGATGATGATGATGACGACGCTGTTGCTGGTGATGATTATGATGACGCTGACGATGACTGATGACGACGGTGATGATGGACGATGGTGATGAGGATGTTGATGATGTGGATGTCCTCACTGATCTTGATGATGAGTAGCTCGGACATGATGACGATGCTTCTGCTGCTGCTGCCGCTGATGGTGATGACAGTGACGATTACGACCTTGTTAATTCTGACGATGATTGGTGATGGTCATGAAGAAGGCGATTCTGATGTAGAGGGTGATGATGCTGGTGATGCTGATGATGCTGATGATGACGATGGTGGTACTGGTAAGCAGGATTATGCTGTTGATGATGATGGTGATGATGCTGGTGATGCTGCTGATGATGCTGATGCTGACGATGCTGATGAAAATGATGAGGATTATGCTGCTGTCGCTGATGACGATGATGGTGATGCTGATGATGATGCTGATGTTGTTCATGCTGCTGATGATTATGGAGATGATGCTGGTGATGATGCTGGTGCTGTGGATGTTGATGCTGCTGCTGCTGCTGATGATGCTCACGATGCGGATGGTGACCATGGTGATGCTGATGCTGATGACGATTATACTACTGTTGCTGCTGCTGGTAATGACGATGATGATGCTGGTGACGACGATACTGATGCTGATGCGAATGATGTTGATGATGACGATGCTGATGCTGATGATGGTGAGGGGTGATGGTGATGCTGATGATGATCATGATACTAATTCTGCTGATGATGATTGTGATGATGAAGCTGATGCTGATGATGATAGTGATGATGATGATGATGATGACGATCACGATGATGCTGGCGATGCTGCTGGTGATGTGGATGAGCAGCATGCGGAGGAGGAGGAATGCGGGGGAGCACTGAGGAGAGATGATGAGGACGAGGAGGGATGGGGAGGAGAAGAGAAGAAGACGGATGAGCACGAGTAGGAGGATGTGGAGGAGGAGGAGGTGAAGCTGTGATGCTGATGATGTTGCTGCCGCTGATACGATACTGATGATGGTGATGATGATGCTGATGATGGTTTTGACGATGGTGATGGTGACGCTGCTGCTGATGATGCTGATGATGATGATGATGCTGATCAGCATGCTGATGCTGATGCTGATGTTGATACTGATATGCAGATGCTATCGCTGATGCTGGTGCTGATGCTCCGGATGCTGATGATGATGATGATGCTGATGCTGTTGTAGTGGTTGGTGATGATGATGGTTCTGCTGATGATGATGACGCGGATGATGATGCTGATGCTGATGATGATGCTGTTGATGATGATGATGATTCTGACGTTGATGTTGATGAGGGGTGATGAGGATGCTGTTGCTGCTGCTGCTGATGATGATGATGATGATGATCGCGATGACGATCATGATGTTGATAGTGATGTTGATGATGATGTGCATGAGCAGGAGGAAGAGGAGGAGGAGGAATGCGGAGGAGAACTGAGGAGAGATGATGAGGACGAGGAGTGATGGGGAGCAGAAGAGGAAGAGGAGGAGGAGGAGGAGGAGGAAGACGAGTAAGAGGATGACGATGAGGCTGTGGATGCGATGACGATGATGATGATGATGATGATGATGATGATGATGATGATGATGATGATGATGGTGATGATGATGATGATGGTGATGCTGTTGATGATGGTGGTGCTGCTGATGATGACGATGCTGATGCTGATACTGATGCTGATGCTGCTGTTGAGGAGGATGTTCTTGGCGTTGATGATCATGATGATGATGATGATGATGATGCTGATGCTGCTGCTGCTGATGATGCTGATGATGCTGCTGCTGATGATGCTGATGATGATGATGATGATGATGATGATGATGATGATGATGATGATGACGGTGGTGGTGATGATGGATCGGTATGGGGGATGGGCGGAGGAGGAGGAGGAGTAGGAGGAGGAGGAGGAAGAGGAGGAGTTGGAGATGCTGAGGAGGAGTCGGGGATGGCCCGCGTAGGACAACAACGCGAGCAACGACGCAGTCGAGATGGCGCGCGATGCGGGCCACGTGGACGTTGTGGAGCTGCTCGAGGCGGCCTGCAGCTCCCTCCCTTTCTGAAGGGTCCAGCTCGAACCAGTTCGCCTTCAGCGATCGCCACTACACATCCTTCTGGCAGCTGGGCGCTAGCCGCCGAGCTGCACCACTGTTGGCTCGCTCGCTCGTCCAGCTCAAACCGATCGGTCTGGCTCGACATGTGTCGGAGGCTGTAGGGTTGAGGCCTAAGTAAAACGCGAGGTGCACCCACCAGGACATCGTTTCGCTCCGTCCTTGTCGTGCGTGGCGCGCGTGCGGGCGAGGGGAGGCCGCGCGAGTTCCTTGCCTAGCTCGGGCCAGGTCAGGCCACACAGGGTCTGGGCCGTGGCTCCGAGTTGCCCCCAGTGGCTCCCGGTTGCCCCGCTGGTTGTCCGGATGGTTGTCCCGATGGTTGTCCCGATGGTTGTCCCGATGGTTGTCCCGATGGCTGTCCCCATCGTTGTCCCTGTCCTGTCGGTTTGTGTTGGCGGTTGTCCCACAGATGATGACGAGATCGACAGAGATATTGACAGTTATATCGAGATATTTGTAGTCAGACCGATCTATGGACGATGGCTTGATGGTGTGACAGTTCACTTGTGAGACCTAGATGTAATGGTTGTCCTGATAGTGAGGTCGGTATGTAGATTGATAATGCTATCGATCGACGGGTAGTGAGACCGATATGTGGACGACACGTATCTCATACTGTCGACAGGCCTCTCTCTATCTCTCTCTCTCTCTCTCCTCTCTCTTTTTGTATATACATACACACATGTCTGATGGCCTTCAGCTTATCCCGCCACCGTGCTTGGGTTGTGGGTCTGAAGCATGTTGGATGTTCGTTGGGATCTCGTGGGAGGCCTCTCGGGGGCCTCTTTGAGGCAGTGTTCAGGCCTCTTGGGGGCTGTTTTGGGGCCTTTGGGGGCCTCTTTTTGGGGGCCTCTCGGGGGCCTCTTGGGGCCTCGTGGGCTCCTCTTGGGGCCTGCCAGGGGCCTCTTGGGCCGTTTTGGCAGCCTCTTCTTGGGGTACTTTTTAGGCCGTCTTGGGGCCCTCTTGGACGCCTCTTGGGCCATCTTGGGGTGGGGGCCTCTTGGACCTTCTTGGAGTGTCGGGAAGCAGCACAGGCGAGAAGAACTTCACCATCCTTCAAACATGGGAGGATAATTCTTGATGCTTTGTGTATCCCCACCATCCCATCCAGACACGATCAGATGCTTTCTTAAGCCCTCTTGGAGGCTGTCTTGACCCAGCCTCGGCTAGAGGCTGCTCGAGGCTATCTTGAGCCATGCTCAGCTATCTTAGGCCATCTTGAGGTTGTCTTGATGCCTCTTGGAGGTCTGCCATGGGCTATCCAGAGCCATGCTCGACCTCCTGGGACCATCATGGGGGTAGGAGAAGGAAGAGGAGGAGGGGGAGGAAACAGAGAGAAGAAGGAGGAGGGGGAAGAAGAGGAATATGACTGCGGCACGAGGAAGATGAGGAGGAGCAAGAGGAGGCGGAAGGAGGAGGCGGGACAGGAGAAGAGAAGTCGGTAACAAAGAGGATGAAGTCGGGCGTTGGAAACATGCTGTTGTGAGAGGTTCTTGAAAGACGGTTAAGGCCATCTTAGGGGCTTTCTTGGGGTCCTTGTAGGGCCTCTTGGGGCACTCTTGGGGCCCTCTTGTGGCTCGTTTTGGGGGTCTTGGGGCGTGGCAGGTTTCGCATGGCGGCCTTGGGCGATTTCAGCACACCCCTTAAGTGGATCGTGGCCCCACAGGGAGCTCCACCGAATGCCCCAGCGGCAGGGTTCGCATGGCTGCCTCGGGCCATCTCGGCACACCCCTCACGAGGATCGTGGCCCCACATGGAGTTTCACCGAATGCCCCAGTGGCAGGGTTCGCATGGCGGTCTCGGGCGATTTCGGCACACCACTCACACGCGTCGTGGCCCCATAGGGAGCTCTGGACGAAGGCCCCAGTGGCAGCGCCCGCATGCGTCCCCCGCTCATTTCGGCACATCCCACGCACGTTTCGGGGCTCCCATCCGCTTTGCCCCGTGCTCCATCCCTCTCGCGGCGCGCTGCGTATGATGAGAGGGGCATATCCTGCGATAATATTCGCAGATGAAACCGGTTGAGTTCTTCGCCTGGCTAATCTGCTCGGAAGCCGTTGGCGCAGTGTCCCGACGGAGTCGGCACACGAGTGCGGCCGACGCGCCATCCCAGAGGATGAGGTCCGAGGCTCGAGGGCCTGGGCAGTGTGGGGCTCCGAGGGCTCGAGGCCGCGGCTCGAGGTCGTGGCTCGAGGTCCGAGGCTCGAGGTCCTTGTCTGGGTAGTCGAAGGCCAGACTGTCAGACTGGATTGGCCCCCGAGGGCCAATCTGGCCTGGCCATATTGGTGGATTTGGGTTATTCGCCAGACTGGATTCGCGTTGGCTCCCTCGCCAGATTGCCTCCGTTTGCCAGATTGGGCCTGCCAGATTGGCGCCAGATTGGCTTCGACTACCCAGTCAAGGTCCTTGTCCGCGCCTGCCCACGCGCGCCCTGGACGGGGCGCATGGCACGCGCTCCCTCTGTGTAAGTCTGGTATGGGAGTCGGTCTCGAGGGGACGGACGTTCACCCAGAGAGCCCCACCCGCCCGCGGAGACACACGCCGGGCTAAAAGGTTCTCCTCCTCCTCCTCCTCCTCCTCTGCCGTTCTCCTGGACACCTTCCTGATCCTGAGGCCAGGTTGGCTGGCTTGAGACGTGATGTTGTGACCAAAAGCTTACCGTGGCAAGGACAGGGTAGCACGGGCTATCCTTCCGTCACGGGCAGGCGGGCTCGTTTCTTCGACCGCGCGCAGTCCAATCCTGTGCCGCAAGGCCCCTCGAGTGCACATGCGCGCGTGCTTACCTCGACAGGCCTACCTTGAGGAGCACGACCTGGCGGACACGGGCCGCCCCCGACCCTGCCCCGCCAACAGGGGAGATGGAGGAAGAGTGGGGGGCAGAGGCGGGAGGGGAGGGAGAGAGGAGGGATGGCAGGACAAGAGATAAACGTATACGAGAGGGTCACAGAGCCAGGGGGTAGGGGAGTAGGAGTGAAGTGACGGGTGGCGGGTGGAGGGTCGAGAGCAGGAAGGACGAGCATGAGGAGGAGGAGTAGGAGGAGGAGGAGGAGGAGGAGGAGGAAAGGAGGAGGAGGAGGAGGAGGAGGAAGAGGAGGATGCGGACGAAGAGAGGAGGAGAGGAGGAGAAGAGGAGGAAAATGAGGAGGAGGAGGAGAGGAGGAGGAGGAGGAAGAGGAGGGAGAGGAGGAGGAGGAGGAGGGCGGGTGAGGAGGAGGAGGGGGGAGGAGGAGGAACAGAGGAGGAGGAGGAGGAGGAGGAGGAGGAGGTGGTGGTGGTGGTGTGGTCGTGGTGGAGGAGTGGAGGAGGACGCGGAGGTGGTGATGGATGAGGAGGGGAGACGGAGGAGAGAGGAGGAGAGAGGAGAAGGAGGAGGAGAACGAGGAGGAGGTGTGGATGAGGAGGAGGCGGAGGAGGAGGAGGAGGAGGACAACGGAGGAGGAGGAGGAGGAAAACGAGGAGGAGGAGGAGGAGGAGGCGGAGGAGGAGGAGGAGGAGGAGGAGGAGGAGAAGGACTGCTCGACTGAAAGGCTTGGTGGTGCTCCATGGGCGCGCGGCTGGGACGGGAGGAGGCAGGCTGGGAGGCACGGCCACACCCGGCGACGGAGTCGCTGGCAAATGACAGTCCTGGGCGGCTAGCCCGCACACAGAGTTCAGTTTGCCGACGATGCTCGCGCCTGGCAACACCCGACTAGTTGTTCGTGGGCGAGAACACGGGATTCCGGTTGTGGTTGTCCGTTTGTTCTACACCACGTTCTTTAGTCTCCCATTCCCTGCTCACCTATTGTACCCTCCCCTGCTGCATGCGGTATTACCCCCCGCTGTCTACGCGACAAGCTCTATTCTCAGACCTATATCGTCTATTCGCATCTCCCTACTTCGCTTCCCATTGCCCTATGACCTACTCAATGTATGTACCGCTCTCTCTCTCTCTCTCTCTTTCTCGCTATGTATCTTGCTTTGCTGTTGTTGTCTCTCTCTCTCTCTCTCCTTATTTCTCTCTCTGCAGGTAAACATATACATGCATGTATGCTCCATGCCCTTAGCATACTCTTTTTCCCCACCTAGGCTCTGCCTAGAAGGGTTCTTACTCTCTATCTTAAAGGGGCCGGGCAGTGTAAATCGCCCCGGGCGGTTCCCCCTGGATCCGCCCCGCGGTTCCCCCAGTTACGTCCCCTTAGCTTAGCGTTGCTTATCTCATCTTAGCTTAGTTTTTTTCATCTTAGCTTAGCTTAGCTTCATCTTAGCTCAGGTTTGTCTTAGCTTAGCTTACCTTCATCTTAGCTTCGCTGAGCTTTAGCATAGCAGAGCACAGCATAGCATAGCATAGCGTAGCATAGCATAGCGCAGCATAGCATATCATAGCATTGCCCAGCATAACATTGCATAACGCAGCATAGCATAGCATAGCATATCATTTCATATCATAGCATAACATAACATAGTATAGCATAGCGCAGCTTAGCATAGCATAGCATAGCATGTCATATCATTACTTAGCATAGCACATCGCAGCATGTTATATCATAGCTTAGCCTAGCATATCATAGCATAACATACCATAGCGCAGCATATCATACCATACTATATCATATCATATCATAGCGCAGCATAGCAATCATATCATAGCCTAGCATAGCATAGCATAGCGTAGATGCAGTTGCAGATGTTAATGTAGCTGTCGGTGTAGATGTAGATGTTGCTGTCCTAGATGCTCCAACTCCTAGGTAGGGTCGCACTGGGATAATTTCCTTCTCTGCAGGTAACCATAGACATGCATGTATGCTCCATGCCCTTAGCATACTCTTTTTATAATTGTGGCCTTTCCCTCCATCCTCTATCACCTTCAATCCAAGTGAATCCTGGGTCTCGAACTGGGAACCTGGAAACCTGGCCACTCGCCAAGACCGGCCCGACGGTTTCGCCAAGTCGTTACAGTTTCAGCGCGGGCCCCGGCGCCTGCAGCCGCCGAGTGGGGAAGCGCCTTACGCCAGAGTTGCAAGGGCTCGCTGGCTCGCTGGGGCAGCGCGAGGCGGCATTTACGCAATCACCAGTTCGTGCGCAATCAGCACTCAGGTGGCAACCTAGATGCAAGCACGTTTGCCTCTCTGTTGCGTGATGGCATCTGAGGATCAGGGTACCGAGCCTGGTGTTCAGCCGAAGTGTGCCACCAGATCAACGCTACTGTACGAGCTCTTCTGGTTCGGTGGTGTACCCGCCTCGTCACTGCTACGCCTCTCGTGTCAGGAAGGTGGATACACATGACTCGGCCGGCCTTGGCAAGAGCTGGACACGCGTGGCTGCATGTCTTTCCAACACTCTGCCATCCTTTGGCTGGGTCCACCAGCCCTCCGCATGTGTGCACTCTCGAAGGGGGAGAACCGTGCGCCCATAACTCAGGCCTCCGGCAGCCGTTCGGGGCGATCTGGCCACTCCCAGAACGCTCTCGACGAGGCGCAGCTGCAGGACAGCACTCCGACATTAGAAAGCCACCCAGAACCGACGGAAACGGCCGGCGAAGCCTCGCCCCAGCCGCCGTCTCAGTTCTTCTCTTCGCCCCTGAGGATCAGAGGAGCAAGGAGTAATGCTAGTCTGGGTAGTCGAAGGCCAGACTGTCAGACTGGATTGGGCCCCAAGGGCCAATCTGGCCTGGCCATATTGGAGGATTTGGGTTATTCGCCAGACTGGATTCGCGTTGGCTCCCTCGCCAGATTGCCCTCGTTTGCCAGATTGGGCCTGCCAGATTGGCGCCAGATTGGCTTCGACTACCCAGTAATGCTAGTGACACGTGCCAGTATTTCCCGGATGTTCCAGATGTCCTGATGTTCCACACGGCTGCCGAAGCGAGGGCCGTTGGATGCCCGGGAATTCTTGGAACGTATCCCGAGCCAACTATGCTGGCATCGCTCTCGTCCTTGATAGAGGAGGAGGAGGAGGAGGAGGAGGAGGAGGAGGAGGAGGAGGAGGAGGAGGATCGAGAAGGAGGACGCCCGCGCTCTTCCCCCAGGTCCGCCGTGACGGGGGGCGGCGCCACGTCCCCACCCCCGCCGGTGCCGCGCCCCCCGCCCAGCCGGCAGTCGGGCGGCGAGATCTAGACAGATCCGCTGCCTCTGGCCAGGCCCATCCTGGGCCCAGGAGCGGTGTATGTGCATGCCCGGCCAGACCATGCGACACAGGCTTTCGGGCCAAGGTCTTCGGAGCTCGGGGTGTCTGGTGCTCCGAAAAAAGACCCGATCTCGACATGGGCATGGAAGCACATGGTATGGTTACGAAGTACGTGCCGTCGACCTGGCCGCAGAAGACATTGCGGCCGCCGAAACGGGTTCGGGTACTGTGATGTCATTCTATCCCGCAACATGAGAAGTGGCGCATTGCACAAACAGCTGTCCTGGCGAAGAACCCAGCCATGTGGAGTTGTGAGTGACGCGATTGTGAGTATCGTCTTCGGTGGAGCTCCCTCTGGGGCCACGGAGCGTGTGAGGGGTGTGCCGACATGGGTGCCGATCACGCATGTGAACAATTTGAGCATTGCCATTGGCGCCTTCGGTGGAGCTCCCTATGGGGCCACGAAGCGTGTGAGGGGTGTGCCGAAATGGGTGCTGGGGCCTTCGGTAGAGCTCCCAACAAGGCCACGAAACGCGTCAGGGGGGTTCCGGAATGGACCTCTGGTGGGCGGGGAACCGCATGTTGACCCAGCCACTGGGGCCTTCGGTGGAGCTCCCCATGGGGCCACGAAACGTTTGAGGGGTGTGCCGAAATTGTTGGGCGGGGACGCATGTGAGCACTGCCACTGGCGCCTTCGGTGGAGCTCCCTGCGGGGCCACGACGCGTGTGAGGTGTGGGCGGAAGTGGGCTTGCGGTGGGCGGGGAACCGCATGTTTTCGCTGCCAACAGAACCTTCGGTGGAGCTCCCTATGGGGCCACGAAGCGTGTGAGGGGTTTGCCGAAGTGGACATTTGGTTGGCGGGGAAGCACATGTGGACGCAGCCACTGGCGCCTTCGGTGGACCATGAAGACGAGAAGGGTGTGCCGAAATGGGCATGCGGTTCCCCGCCCAGCCATTGAGGCCGCTGGTGGAGTGCCGACAAGGACATGCGGTGAGCGGGGAACCGCATGTGGACGGAGCCATTGGGGTTTTCGGTGGAGCTCCATATGGGGCCACGAAACGTGTGAGGGTTGTGCTGACATGGACCTCTGGTGGGCGGGGATCCGCATGTGGACCCTGCTACTGGGGTCTTCGGTAGAGCTCCCCGTGGGGCCACGAAACGTTTGAGGGGTGTGTCGAAATGGACATGCGCTGAGTGGGGAACCGCATGTGAAAGCAGCCACTTGGGCCTTTGGTGGAGCTCCCAGTGGGCCACGACATGTTTGAGGGGTGTGCCGACATGGACATGCGGTTGGCGTGGAACTGCATGTGGACGGTGCCACTGGGGCTTTCGATGGAACTCCGTTTGGGGCCATGAAGTGTGTGAGGGGTGTGCCGACACAGAGACGTGCGGAGGGCAAAGGCAAGGGACGGGAGTAGGAGGGCGAAGAAGAGGAAGAGGACGAGGAGGTGAGGAGGAGGAGGAGGAGGAGGAGGAGGAGGAGGAGGGAGAAACGCGGGGCGCTGTCTCTTCAAAACGAGAGCCCAGAACCACAGGATGGTTCGTGCAGCAACGCATGCAGTGGATCCCTCGTGCACCGCCCCCCGGTCCCAGCGCAGGCAGCGGGCAGCGGCCGTGGATCGGGGCACCGCCCAGGCATGCCAACAGATCGTGCGTGCGCGTCGGCCCCGCGAGGGCGGCGTGCACGCCAAGACATTTTGCAGGTGATAAGCTCCGTGGCGGGCGCTTCCTGCCCACGCCGCTCGGGAGCCGACGGATTCTATGATCTGCGTGCTATATGCTCGTGTCGGACGTGCGCCTCCAGCCTCGGGCACGTCGTGCTAGTCCGCCGTCCTGCGCCCCAGCGGGCGTGCACAGACCTCGTCGCCCCCCCCCTGGCGAGTGCGCTCGCCGCGGCTGCCCCCCCCCGCCGCAAGCAGCGCGCGCCCTCCGCCGCCGCCGCGGTTTGGGCGGCGGCCCGGCGGCGGGCGCATGCCTCGGCGCGCCTCGGCGGCCCGGCGGCGGGGAAAAAGCAGAGAAGAAGGCTTAGTCGGTCGGGCGACAAGGGGGGGGGGGGGCAGGCAGCCGAAGATGCGATTCGAAGGGCTACCCTGGCGAAGGACCCAGTCGCATGCAGTTGTGAGTGCCGCGCTACGGGCGCCGCTTTCGGGGGAGCTCCCCCATGGGGCCACTAGACGCGCGAGGGGTGTGCGCAAAGGGGCGGGGAGCCGCATGTAGACCCTGCCACTGGGGCCTTCGGTAGAGCTCCCTGTGGGGCCACAAACCGTGTGAGGGGTGTGCCCCAGTGTGCGGAGGACCGCATGTGGACGCAGCCACTGGCGCCTTCGGTGGAGCTCCCTCTGGGGCCACGGAACGCGTGAGGGTTGTGCCCCAATGGGCGGGGAACCGCATGTGGACCGTGCAACTGGGGCCTTCATTCGGTGGAGCTCCCTACAGGGCCACGAAACTTGGGAGGGATGTGCACTGCCACTGGCGCTTTCGGTGGAGCTACCTATGGAGCCACGAAGCGTGTGAGGGGTGTGCCAAACGGTGGGCGAGGAACCGCATGTGGACGCAGCCACTGGGACCTTCGGTGGAGCTCCCTAGAAGGCCACTACACGCGTGAGGGGTGTGCGCAAAGGGGCGGGGAACCGCATGTAGACCCTGCCACTGGGGCCTTCGGTGGAGCTCCCCCATGGGGCCACGAAGCGTGTGAGGGGTGTGCCGAGATGAGTGGGGAACTGCAGGTGGACCGTGCCACTGGGGCCGTCGGTGGAGCTCCCCCATGGGGTCACGAAGCGTGAGGGTTGTGCCCAAATGGGCGGGGAACCGCATGTGGACGGTGCCACTGGAGCTTTCATTCGCTGGAGCTCCTTATTGGGTCACGAAGCGTGTGAGGGTGTGCTGACATGGATATGCGGACAGCAAAAGCAGGGGTTGGAGAAGGGAGGAGGAGGAGGAGGAGGAGGAGGAGGAGGAGGAGGAGGAGGAGGAGGAGGAGGAGGAGGGCGGAAGGAAGAGCTGAGACGCGGGGCGACGTCTTTTCAAAACGAGGGCCCATCACCACAGGATGGTTGTGGGAAAACGCAGCGGCGTAAGGATAAACTGTGGGAGCTCCGCACTGATTTCTTGGATCCGTCGTGGACTCCCCTCTCTGGCGCGCCGAGCGCGCCAGGGGCGGCGCCAGTGGCGCGTGGAGCTTCCATGTGTCCCAGCCCTCATGTGCTGGGTGGATAGGGCACCGTGGTCTCCACCTCCCACCTCCTCTCTCGCCTCCCCTCTCTTCTCCGTCTCCCTCTTGCCGTCCGCCTCCTGCTTTATTCCCAACCCTCCTGTGTGTTGGGTTGTTCGTTTTGAACTGTGGTCTCCACCTCCTCCTCCTCCTCCTCCTCCTTCTCCTCCTCTCCTTAGCCATTTTCGTTGGTTCCTGGGAGGCACGGCGGAGTTGGGGGGTACGCGGACACAGCCGAGACCTCGCAGATCTTTGGGGGACTGCGAGCTGCGCAACCGTCGCCCTTTTCGTGGGCTCCTGGGAGGCGCGGCGGAGTTGGGGAGGACGCGGACCCAGCCCATACCTTGCAGCTCCTTTGGTGGATGCGGTGCGAGTTGCGCAACTCTCGCCAATTTCGTGGGCTCCTGGCAGGGCGGAGTAGGGAAGTACGCGGTCCCAGCCGAGACTTCGCAGCTCCCTGGGTGGGTGTGAATCGCGCAGTTGTGGCCACTTTTCGGGCTGAACCGGACCCCAAGCGAATCAGAGTAAACTTTGGTATGTTCTGGGTAACTTATATTTTTTTCCATGCCGTGGCGGCTCGCGTTTTTCGTCGCGTTGTGGGGTGCTCTCTGCGATGCCGCGGCGCTTGGCCCGGTCCCGACTCAGCTGAGCCTTTGCGTTACTCCCAGCGGTGCGCGCTGGGGCGGCTCTCGAGGCCGCGTCGATGGTCATTCGGATGTCCAGTGTGCCATCCTGGAAGCCATCGACCAACAGTTCGCGCGCGGAGTGAATCGTGTTCGTCGTCGTCGTCGTCGTCGTCGTCGTCGTCGTCGTCGTCGTCCTCGTTGTCGTTATCATCGTTGTCTTCTGTTTCGTGTCCGAGCAAATGGGTTGATAATGCACCCCCCCAGCGCATGGTCCTGCAGTGGCGTGTTCGGTTCTCGTGTCTATCCCGATTTCAAGAGGCTGCGCGGTTCACAGGGACCTGTGGGGGGCCACCAGCTCATGCCGACCACTTCCGTGGGCTCTTGGGAAGCACGGCGGACTGGGGGAGCACGCGCACGCAGCCGAGACCTCGCAGCTCCTCGGGTGGATGCGGAATTTTGCGCAGCTGTCTTTTCGTGGGCTCGTGGGAGGCACGGTGGAGCAGGGAAGCACGCGGACCCAGCCGAGCGCCTGCAGCTCCCTGGGCGGCTGTGCCTTGCGCAGCTCTCGCCACGTTCGTGGGCTCCTCGGGGGCACGGCCGAGTGTGGGGAGTGTGCGGGCCCAGCCGAGACCTGGCAGCTCCCTGGGTGGCCTCGAATTGCGCACGTGCCGCCGCTGTCGCGGGCTCCCGGCACGCAGATCTCGCCGCCTCCGCGGGCCTCCTGGGAGGCGCGGCAGACAGAGCAGGGGAGCCCGCGGACCCCGCCGAGCCTCTGCTGCCCCCTCTGGGAGGCCGCGAACTGCACCACCGCCGGTACAGTCGGGGCCCTGAAGAAGGAACCCTTTTCGTTGGGGGGGGGCTCCGTGTTCCTTGATTGTTTCGCAGCTTGCCTTGGATGTTCCTTAGGTCTTCGATGCGAAATCGAAGTTTAACTTATGGAGTATAGGGGGTCGTTCCTTATTTAGGGCTCCTTAGGTCAACGCCCCGACTGTATTTTCGTGGGCTCCTGGCAGGCACGGCGGAGGGGGGGCGTCCGCGCGCCCAGCCGAGACCCCGCCGCTCCTTGGGGCGGCT